CTGGAATAAAGTTCTACTGTGACATAACGACAGGCGTCTCTAGGGGTTTTGCACAACATTTGCAGCATTGGCGCTCTTTTTTAAAATAAAACTTAAGTATGAATTAGTTGTATTTACACATATAAATACAAAGTTTCTTATTTACATACTATCAGACTTGATCCAAGAATAATGAAAGTACATAACACTGGTAAGCATCCAAACTGGAACCAGACTATGTACAGTAGACCAAGAAAGTTGATTCAGTTTACAAATATTTATTAAAAGCCAACTACATAGAGGTGATATACTAGGTGCAGGAAGGAGGAGATACATGGTTATACTTACTTCAATTTTAGGTTGATTTTTCTTGAAAAATTTGAATATTAAAGAAGCTGTTATTATCGTTTTTCAGTAAGTATTAAATTTTGTAGGTGGAATTCTTGCATTTAGTCAAAGATAAGAATGGAGAATCTCTAAATTCCTATCAAACCTACAGAGGCTCTTACAAATATGTCCTGCCAAGTTTCATTAAAATTTAGCTGGTAATTAAGACAATTAAAAATAATATCTACTGTTTCTATACTTGTAATGGCAGCATAATATTTAAGAATAGGAATACTGAAAATTGACATGTATTTCATATCACACAGTTTTATTTTTTACCTATGTGTCTTTTCTCAAGTTAATTCACCTTCTCTATGCTCTCTCCTCTATGAAGCAAGACATTCCCTCACAGAGTTGATACAAATATTAAATCAATTAATATACGAAAAGCTCTGAACACAGCAACAGGTATGTAAAAAATTCACAATAAATATAGAAAGCTAAAAATAAAACAAATTTTAATTGAAAAAGTATTCAAAAATATTCTGTTCTATAATGCAAGCATTTATACAGTTAAATGATATATCTTATTAAATATGAATCTTAGATATGCTTAACTTTTTGAAAAATATCTGTAATGGACACTCATAATAATAAGGAAAAATCAAAATCAAAGAAGGAAAGTCCAGTATACTTCCTTGCCTGTACTATTTTTTATAGACCAAATGTAGAATACTGCACAACTACTTATCAAATTCCTTTCTTAATTTGGAAAATACCTAGTCACCATAAAGGATTCTGTGTCACAAATTGAACCTGTTGGAATTTATTAACATTCCAGTATAAATAGTGAGTTTCTTTTGTAATAATTTCCCAAGGCTCTTTTAGTTTCTCTTATGAAATATCTCTTATCTCTTCCTCTTAACCTGCATTATGAATCTCTTAAAATAAATATGAATACTGTTGTTCCTATTTATGAACTATTTAAAAGAAAGAACTCATACCCAAAGTGGAGAAACAGAAAAATAAAGAGTGGAAAAGAGGACACATTAATGATGAAATTAAATATGTATTTTAATGTGTGTTTTGACCTATTATTTTTTATTGATGGACATGTTGTCAGTAAGTCTTGAGAACATTAGAAAATAATAAATTATTTTAGAAATAGGACACTTACACAATTTATTGTTACATTTTATATCCATGAATGGTTTGAATTCTTCTCACAAGTATAAGTCATTTAAAAATACTAACAAAAAGTCTTCTTCCATTCATTTCCTATTCAAATGATCAGTTTCATAATTTTTATTTGAGGTTTAAAATGCAAACACTATTTGAATTGGGTACTCTGTCACCTGAAATAAAACCTATAGTAGTTAACGTGAACCAAATGATTAAATAATATTTCCCTAATTTTTAATGTTGCTCATTACTTACTTCAGTATCTATACTGTAAAAGGACACTGGCCATAACGCCGGAACGACCAAATGACCTATCACCAGGAGGTGCATGGAGCACCTCTCCGTATCTCCCCCCAGGCCTGTGAGCAGCAGCTCTCCGCAGGGCAAGGCACCTCTCCTGGTGCAGCAGGAGGCAGGGTGCCTCACACAATTTCGCATGATGGGCCTCTAATTTATAATAAAACACAAGGAAATCTCTCTCAAAAATTCTGAAATAGTGCAGGATAATGTGTGTATATTTCTGACTCAGGAGAGTGAATAATTGGTATGTGGTTAGTCAGTGTAGACAATGATTTCCTATACTTTAGAGAGTTTCCTTGATGGCTCTATTTTGTCTCTCTGGACACATGCCCTGTGTCCCCTTCTAGTAGATGAAGGAATTCGCACTCTTCATTTTACCATCCATGTATGTACAGGGATTGTCATAACATCAATCTGTGCCATCCCTAGGGATTCTGGTCTTTTTTTCACAAAATGCTCAACAAATTACCCAGAAAAAGAAATGCTTAAAAGGCATAATTATAATATTTGGGAAACATTAACTACATATTAAAAGGAAAGAATTAAATTAACATGGAATATATGAAAAACATACTTGTACATATACATTCACAAAACTCTTCCAATTTATATAGAATGGAGAAAGATGTGGTGTATATATGCAATGGAATATTATTCAACCAAAAAAAGAATGAAATCTTGTCATTTTTGACAACATGAATAGAGCTCAGGGTTTTATGCAATGGAATATTATATCATTTACATTTGGAATCTAAAAAACAAAATAAATAAACAAAAGAGAAACAAACTCATAGACACAGAGAACAAATTGATGGTAACTAGATGGAAGCAGGGTGAAGAGAAGAGTGCAAAGAGTGAAAGAGATTAAGAAGTACAAATTGTCAGTAATGAAAATAGGCACACATAGGGAATATAGTAAAAAATATTGTAATCATTGTGTATGGTGTCAGATGAAAACTGGACTTATTGAGGCGATCATTTTGTAAGATATACAAATATCTAATTACTATGTTGTACAAATGAAACTAATATAATTTTGTACATCAAGTGTAATAGGAAAATGAATTTTAAAATGTATATGAAATAAAATTATTTATCTCAAGAAAATGGAAATTCTGCCGAAACCGGTTTGGTTCAGTGGTAGAGCGTCGGTCTGCGGACTGAAAGGTCCCGGGTTCAATTCTGGTCAAGGGCATGTACGTTGGTTGCGGGCACAATCCCGGTGGGGGGGGGTGCAGGAGGCAGCTGGTTGATGTTTCTCTCTCATTGACGTTTCTAGCTCTCTATCTCTCTCCCTGCCTCTGTGTAAAAAAATCAATAAAATATTAAAAAAAAAACATATTGCATATTGAATTTGAATCTTTCTTTGTCATTTGCTCAAGTCACATCATTAAGAAAATTGAAAAAAAAAAGAAAATGGAAATTCATTTACAAGAGTTAATGTTTCCAATGTGACTATATAATGAAATATATTTTTTACCAGATATGCATTTTATCAATTTATTTTTACTTTTATGAATAATAAAGTCAACAAGATGAACAGCACTCTCTTTATATTACAATAGTTCCTGCAATTAAGGAAAATGATAATTGATTGAAATATCATTTTGGAAATAGTTTAATGACATATTAACTTACTATATAATACAGTCTTTATGAAATATTCTAACTTTAGATTTTAAATACTTGGAGGAAAACTACTGCTTCCTCCTAAATATACTATTGGAATCTTCCTAAATCTACTATTATAAACTCAATGTTATTGCATTTAATCAAGTAAATTTTATATAAAATTAATCTTAAATATAAAGGTAAATGATGCTTTTAGTAACTATTTTTGTAGTTTTTGAAAAATGTTACTTTGAATTTTTATTACATTAGGGAAAATAAATTATATGTTATCTAGCTATATTTTTCAGTAAAGATACTTGTCTACCCTTTATCAGATCTCTGTGTCAGTAAGAATTAATATTAAAAATAATTTATTCTATAGATTAGAAATCATTTAATTTTAGTTTATTTCAGGGTGGTTGTGTGTAACTTGCAAAGGAGTTTTCAAATATTGATGATTATTCAATGCCACATGAAGTCAAAAGTTTACAATTCCCAAATCCTTTCTCTGAGATTGGCTGTCAAGTATATAAAGACTAATAATAAGTAATAAATTAGTCCAATAAAAATATTAAAACCTAGTTATTATTTATTCACAAACAGAATTAAAATGTTATTTACGTAACAAACTCAAGAATGTACAAATGTTAGAAAAAGTTTCTATACCAGGATTTCATAAATCAATAACTAATATAGATAGATTTCTACAATAGAAACTAAACTTTGCTACCTTATGCCCTACTTTTTAAAAATATACTTTTTATTGGTTTCAGAGAGGAAGGGAGTGGGAGAGAGATAGAAACATTAATGATGAGAGAAAATTATTGATCTGCTGCCTCCTACACATCCCCTCCTGGGGACCAAGCCTGCAACCGGGCATGTGCCCTGAATGAGAATCTAAACAAGACCTCCTGTTTCATAGTTGACTCAACAACTGAGCTACACTGGCCAGGCAGCTCTACTTTTTAAGTGGCAATTATTGTCAAGATAAAGAGTAGAAAAACATACCAAATAGAATCAACTTGTCAAATCTATTAATTTATGGGGTTTTGACGCTTTCAAAACACAACCCAATTCTCTCTTTAATTCAAAAATCTGAATAGAAAAATAATATGTACAACATGCTGACATATTTTAATATTAAAAATATCAAATATTTAACCAAATATTTATTTTAAAATCTTCTCATAATTAAATTTATTGTGAAGACCTGAGCACAAAAGTACTAAAATAAATTCAGAAAATTGTTAAGTAGACATTAACAAGTCTATTGTCATTAAAAATGTGCAAGAAGATTTTATAATATCAATCTTTCAAACAGAGATCACCAAATTGACTTCCAGGAAGTTGATATTCTGTGCTCAAAGTTCAATTACAGATATAAACAATAAAATATGACCTATAAGTTAAATTACAAAGACCATATATAATTGTCAAGTATTATTTAACATCTAGTTTTGTAATGCAATCTTTTTCCATATTTGCTATGAGGCATTCAGCCGTATGGTTGAATTTATTTATGACTAGCAGACAAGAATTCTCTCTGTGTGTGCAATTTATTAAGTGGTTTGGTTTTGTTTGACTGTATAAAATTGCCTTACCTTTGGCTTTTGATGTTTCTCCTTCTCTGAAACATTGGATGGTTTTCTCTTCAGCATTTTGAATTCAGACTACTCCAAATGAGTGCACTTTCTGTCGTTACAGAAACAACTGAAGACTGCAGTGTGCTGTCTCTGACAGCAGTAAATTTGAGCCCTGTGACCTGCCACTTCCTCCTTTGGTCAGGATATGATGTCACATTTACATGGGTAAAGTTTTTTGGCATTTTTTACAGTTATTCTTTAGTAACTCTTTAATGTTCTGTTTCTTCTATATTCTATGACATAAATTACTTAATGTCACACTTTGACATACCTGCAGTTATCATCAGAACCATAAGGATTTCAAAATAACACTCATTTTTTTTAGTTTATATAAAATAAAAATCTATAACACACTTTATGGGTAAAGGGAAGAAAACATGTGAGCTAATAAATAAAATTTGAGATGTAGGTTTTTTAGTACAAAAAATTTTTAAGAAAATACTCAGTGTAGTCAATTTTACATTTCTAAGTAAACTGTTAGAAGATGAAATAAACTAGACTTTATACAATAGTAATCCTATGTAAGACATGTATGCATACATTTAAAATAGAGCATGAATGAAATTTATATAAATATATGAATTTGGTGTGGTGGTTGCTATTGATTATATTTCTGTAATAATAACAAATGAACTAAGACTATAACTGGAGTATATGTAGTTTTAAAAAGTATTACACTCAAGAAGTTTTTATAAAATCTCAATGTATGATCTCTAGGCATTTTATGATTATTAACACTATAAAGAATATTGAAATATAAATAAAACGGGACTCTTTTCCTTCAGAACTACAGATGAGAGAAGCAAATTTCCAGTCTTCTACTCAAGAGCAATGTTTGCTGGAGATTAAAAGACCTGATATTTGAGATCATATTACAATCTGTTTTTAGCTCACCAATACTAAAAATATCTCAGGTACCAAGGTAGAAACTATTTTATTAATTATCTATTTTATGAAATTCTTAGTCTACTGAGATATTTAATAAATGACCCACAGCGATCCAGCAAATTCAGAAATTAAAGGTCGACAGTACAGGAATCAGGTAGTCATTATGGAGCACACCTAACTCCATATCACTATTCAACCACTAAGCCACATGTTGCTTAAGATATGTTCTGAAACAAGGAAATTGCAAAAGAGTAGTCTCCAGGGACTGCTTTTACACGTTAACTTAATGGTCTTTTACCCAAGAAGTGAAACAGGCTGGGACTCTGTGGCATATACATTGATTACTCTTTCTGCATCATACAGAGTGAGCAAAAACTTTAAAGAAATTACAATGAAATGATAGGTACTGTGGTGTGTTTTATGAGAAAGTAAGGTGAAATAGGAAAGAGTTGTTTCAACAGTGCAACAAATATTCTATGATATAAAAAATAATAACATTCAAATCATAGGCATCAGAAAAGTATAAATATGAGAAAATGCTACCTGATGTCTTTGATTCTAACATTTTGATCACCTGATGACATCTATCTATATCTCTGCTTCTAGTCACCAAATTGAATAATAAAATTAGATAGTAATGTTGGGTTAATCCTAATCTGTAAATTATTTCAAGACACATTTGTTCAATGGATGGAGGATCTTCAAACCAACTCTTTAAAAATGGGATTCGAATCTCCACACTGCCTTAATTTTTACACCTTCTCCAACAAGTGTCCTGGTCACAAAAAATCTAACACTTCAGTGCATTTCTGGGGCAGCCATGATGAAAAAGCTATTTTAATAACTATAAACTAGACTACGTCTGACCTCACCTCAAATATATTGTTGAAGGAGGAAACCAGAAATAGATCTTTCAAGAACTTGAAAAATAAAAAAATAATATTGTTATTATAGAATATAATTTGAAATTAACATAAATATATGGCCAATATGCAAATTGACCTCTCGGGAGTTTGATCACTTGCTATGATGTGTGCTGAACACCAGGGCACAGTGCAGAACAAAGAAAGCCTCTGCTGGCAGCTGGTAGCCGGAGAAGGGAGGCCCCAGCCAGCAACCAATGGGCCCTGATTGCCAGCCAGGCCTGGGGACCCTACCTGTGCACTAATTTCGTGCACCAGGCCTCTAGTTTAATATAAGATAGAATAATTATTAAAAAGTAATAGATTATATTCCATTTTGTTCAACAGAATTTAGTCACTTATATAAACAAAAGGTGGAGTAAATCATAAAAGCAATTTAACCCTGATAGTTCCTCTTTTCTTTCTGTCCCATCCAAGTAGGCTTCTCTCTACAAAATGGAAAATGTAATCTTATAGAAAGAAGTCTAAGTGGGGATATGAGTTCTTACCTATTTATGGCTTGCTGAAAGTGGAGATCCTATACTATGATACAAATCTAGCCCTACTCAGGATTTCTAATGAAATTCTATGTAGTTCTTTACTCAAAAATTCAGGTGTTATTTTTAAAAGCATATAGCCATATCCTCTAGATATCTAGCTTATTCTTATCACATGGTAGATAAAGCACCTCCTTGTTTAGATGTGGGTGTGTACTTTGTACAGAGAAATGGTGGGATGGATGTTCCCCCAAGCCTACAGGAAGAGATTTTGTGGATAGTAGCCTTCTTGTGAATCTCTTATATTTTCTAGCTTTCTGAAATCACTCATTCTCTGTCTATAAAGTCTCTATTTACTAATCCTTTTCAGTAAGGAACCCAGCCCATTCCCTAAGCTCTTAAAATCCCTCCTTTCTTTCTTTCTTTCTTTCTTTCTTTCTTTCTTTCTTTCTTTCTTTCTTTCTTTCTTTCTTTCTTTCTTTCTTTCTTTCTTTCTTTCTTTCTTTCTTTCCTTCTTTCTTTCTTTCTTCTTTCTTTCTTTCTTCTTTCTTTCTTTCTTTCTTTCTTTCTTTCTTTCTTTCTTTCTTTCTTTCTTTCTTTCTTTCTTTCTTTCTCTCTCTCTCTCTCTCTCTCTCTCTCTCTCTCTCTCTTTCTTTCTTTCTTTCTTTCTTTCTTTCTTTCTTTTAAGTATTTTATTGATTTTTCACAGAGAGGAAGAGAGAGGAATAGATAGTCAGAAACATTGATGAGAGAGAAACATCAATCAGCTGCCTCCTGCACACCCCCTACTGGAAATGTGCCCGCAACCCACGTACATGCCCTTGACCGGAATCAAACCTGGGACCTTTCAGTCCGTAAGCCACCGCTCTATCCACTGAGCCAAACTGGTGTCAGCTTGAAATTCCTTCTAATGTCTTACTAATTGAAAAACTATATAGTTTTGCCTAGTGATCTGCTTTAGGGAGTCATGAGCTCAAGTTTAGAGGAGAAAATTGGAAGAAGAAATAATTCTGCTTCCACTAACTGGGTGTGTAAAGAAGTTGGGAGCTATCGAGGTTTGTTTTTCCCTAAAAACTTGAAATTAAGCTTACTTATCACAAATTAATTTTCTTTTAGGATATGTATCAAGTCTACATAAAAATTACTGTATTATTATTTTCTTCTTGTAATATGGTGCCTTGCCTTAGTTTTACTAGAGTCTTCATACATTCACTAGCAGTGACAGGGTTAATGCCCAAAACACTTAGGAATGTTGTTGTTGTGTGTGTGTGTGTGTATGTGTGGGAGGGGGGGAGTGGGGGAGAAGGGAGAGAGTTGACAATTTTTTTCTACAAAGAAAAAGGGAAGTAACAGAGGTAAGTATTGATAGTATCTACTCAAGCTGCTTAGTTCAAGAAAGAGAGAGCTCTAGTCAACCTTTAGTGTCTTAATTCTCCTGACAAGATGATTCATTATGTGGAGATGGCTGCATCAAGTGATTTTAGCTGGATTTTAATAAACAACAAATATGTTTAACTACTTCTTTCTATTTTTATTTTAAGCCTAAGAGTAATCTTCTAATAATGACTTGGCTCTATGTAGCTCTTCAGGAGGAGAATGCATTGTTCATATGGACATCAAGTCCCTTAAACCTTGTGATTTATATTTCTCACTATATAGTAATAAATTACCATGGTTGTTAATTAGGGTGTGTCTAAAATAAGGATCCACTCTGGATGTGCCAAAACCATGATGCTTTAGAGAGCGGAAATGGTCTGGGCAGGCCCAGCATATCTTGGGATGACTCTTGGGAGTGAGCCTGGCCCTGCAACATTATTCTTATTTTAAATTCCTCAAAGTTAATGTGTCAAATTATCTCCATATCTTAGTTAGAGAAGAAATAGAGAATTGAGGTAAATTGCAAGAATCAATTGTCTAAGATGAATGGTGAACCTAAATAATCCTACAGGAAAAATTGTCTAGAAAGAGATAAAGAACTTCTCACATCATATCTATGCATGGCAAATTGTTTGAGAAGACATCATAAACAAAATACAAGAAGCACCAGTTCAACAGTGACTAAAACAATTAGGGGAACTGAATAAATTCTAAGTAAATATAAATTACTCAAATCATTTCAATAAATTCTAATTATATACAAAGTGGTCCCCACAATAAGTAATGATGCAATTTTACCCATTTATAATTAAAATTACAAGATTATAGAAATAATCTTATTATCAAAGGTAATAATAATAATAATAAAGACTATCCTTTTTAAGTGCTTATTATATGCCTGGCATTGTGCTCTATGCTTTATACATGTTTCCCATGTAATCTTCATAAAATCTTTATGTAGCTATTATTATCATTCTTACCTCCAGGTGAGGTGAGGTAAGGTCCAATTTGCACATCTGGTAAGTGGTGGAGTCAGGATTCAATCCAAAGCCTCAGCACATAAATATCCCTCTATCTCACCATTGTGCTTTGGCATACGCAAAGACCTGGTATAAAATTGAAGTGGTTTACTTGTGTGTTAGAGCCAGAAATGATAAGGGCTGGGTACAGGGTAATGCTGAGCTACTGGTTGGAGAGAATGTTTCTTTCAATCATTAAGTGTGAATAAAAAGTTGAAACCAGTAAGTATGCAACTAATCAGAACCCTCTTCTTTAATTCAGACTCAGCACCATAGGGACAAACTAGTACACTTCACTTTCCTTCTGCAACCCAAGCTACCTTTTTGTGATT